TTTTCCAGTTACTTTACCTGCAGCCATAGCACAAATATACAGAAACATTCAATCTTGGCACTCTCTAATTTGGTTTAATTCTTTATAGTGAGGAAAAGCTTATATTTAAAATGATGAACAGTTTTATTGCGTCTCTATTCTGGCCATTGAACAAATCCATGTAAACACAGCTTCCTGCAGTTTTACGTCACAGCAGCTTACAGACACCTGGGCTGTGCCTATACTAAATTAAATACTAAGTGTGTTCAAGACATTGAACCCTTTGTCACTACAGACCAACTGGCTTGAAATTACCTTCTAAGCCTTGCTTCTATTCTAGCTTCAAAATGGACTTTATTTTGACTGTGAGTCCTGACCTGCATAGAAACTCTTGCTCCTGCCTGTTCCTTTGCACAGCACCTTTGGCCAGGTCTTCAGTGATCTTCTTTTCTTGACCTGTCCTGTGCTGTGACACCTGGGCTGCTGACAGGCCTGGGCTCCAGCCACAGCAGCTGCTTTGGGGTGGGGTAACCAGCCAGGAGAGGGGACTGCAGCCTGTCCCTGCAGCATTGTGTGCACACAGCGCGGTCCCGACAGGCTCCTCCTCTGTGTGCTGATCAGGTTTGGAAACGTTTGCTATATCTATTATGTTTTGATTTTTCCTGTTTAGGACACTGTGGGAGAGAAGCTGACAGAGGAACTTCCCAGCCCCCCAGATGGCTGGGCTGTGAACCATGTGTAAAATCTGACACCAGGACAACTTAATCTTACCTGGTCTGGACACAATACAAAGATAACAGTATGGGCAGCTTGAGGATTTGTTCTGTATTTAATAACAAATAGATTCCTCATGGGGTCTTAATTTCAAACCGTAATCTGTTTTTTGGAGCTATAATAATTTTTTTAAAAATTTATGCACTATTTGTTAATTAGCGTTATTGTTAGTGTATTGTACATATACACATACTTTAAAAATATATTTTATTATACATACACATATGCTAGTAGTATTAGCATTATTATTAATGTATCAGCATTTTCCAAAAAACAATGAACTTCTTTTGTTATGGGAAGTCTTGGCATGTGGTAAGATATTGAGCAGATGCCAGTGCTGGTGAAAATGTTTCTGAATGTTGGAATCTTTTCATACAGACCAGGGATTTTCAGTATTTTGTGTTAAGTGGCTGCTTAGGACAGAGTATGATCCAGTCTGAAATTACTGGCATTTCCCTTGGAGACTCTTATTTTTCTGATGGAAGCTGTAAAATCAAATGTCAGAAGTGAGGATGGCAGAAGTTCTTCCTCTTTCTCTCCACACCTCGGCTGAGATGGTCTGACTACTGCACAAGTTACAAAACCAGGATAAAGAATAAAAGAAATATGGTTATCCATACAACTTTTTGTTTTATACATGGAGATATTATCTTTGATTACATATGCAATGATTGATGATTAAGGAATTGGAGTGCTGTTTTGGAAAACTGTTTTTTTTCCCTGGTTCTACAAGAGAGCTGCTTTGTTGCACTGGGTGAGCCAGTGAATGTAGGCCATAATGTGTTTCCAGTGTGTTACACTGAGGGACCAATCTGCTGAAATAGATTTTTAACATCTTAACTGGGTATTAAGCTTGCATAAAATCTGAAGGATCACACTCTTATTTGGCTACACTTGGTCATCAGTGATTAATGAATTCTTTTAGCAATTCTAACTTCATTTTCTGTGCCTTAGGTCCCAACTGTTCAGTTAAAAGAGCTTAGCATCCATCTCACAACAACTGAATTATGGATAGAAACAAATTAATGCTTCTAAAGTGTTCAAATGCAGTGCATCTCAAAGGAAAAATCTAGAAGGAAACAAACAATTTTGTGATCCGGACAAAATCTTTGTATATATCTTTAATAAAAAAAGGAGAAGAAAAAAATCTGAATCACAAGCTAAAGAAGAAGGTTGAAGAAAAATACTGAATATCAAGTGCTGTACTGAATGAAGTGGTGATCCCATGGAGAAAATGCAAAAAGATAATGTAATTAAGGATTAGAAGAGGAGATCAAAGTACACCATGCTGAAGGTTTTTAGATGTCTGACAGACTGATGCAAATCCCTGTTCTTCATGTTGGGATGAGAATACAGGAAAAGCACACAAAAATGCAGCAAGGGAGACTAAGACAGGTATGGAAAACTTCCAGGTGTGGAAAATTCTCCATGGTCTTTGCCAGTTTCTTTCCAGTTTGCACCTTATTTCTTCTCTCTTCTTGTCATGCTAAAATTTTGATTTTTTTCTTGTCTAAGCTGAGCTTCTCACCATATCTGTATAAATTCTTGCATTTAAAATCTACAAAGTTCCCACGGCTTAATCATATCAATCTGTTGGCTGTTCTTTTCTTTTGTCTGTGGTAAAATTGTTTGTGTATTAATCATTAAGAGTTTCTTTGAGGAACTCAGTCTCTTTAACAGGTTTCCTCCTTGGAGCAGGAGATTAAATCTTGAACTTTTTTCAAGATATTGAAATCTGTTTTCCAAATACCATTAAAAAAAAAAATTCCCAATTCTACTTTTTTTCCAAACATATCATGTCATTCTTGCTTTTTTTTCCCCAGATGCCCTTCCCCTTGGTGTTGCAATAACTTTTCCCCTGCTGATTAGAAACTCCTGATGGTGTTTTGTGATATTTAATTTCAACACTTGTCTAAAGAATAATAATAAAAAAAAATTTTCAAAAGAAATTTTCTGCTGGTTTGGTTCTATGTGAAAAGCTCCACTGTTACAATATCTGTAGTCTTTTCCCCTATGAAAAACACTTTCCAACAGGTCAGTTAGGTTTGTTAGTGACCTAGAGAGATAACGTATGCTCCTTGACATTTTCCCTGATGACAAGGTAAATACTTACATTATATTAAGTAGTCCTGTGACATGAATTAACCCACACAGTCTCTTATTTCAGTTAAATGATCTAAATGATCTTTTGATCGGTCTTGGGCCCATATTTGACTATCTTTAAATTTTTGGTGCAAATGTTTATTTTCTTTCTCAGTGCAGGTATATTTTGTAATACTTTAATGTTATCAAGAATGACCTTTTTACAACAAGGAAAAAAAAATATTAATCTTTCTCCAATTTCTTCCAAGTAAAAGACAATAAGAATTAAGAAACAAATAGGGAAAATTTGGGAGAATGAAAATGTGACTGGCTATGTGAAAAGTGCAAGGGGAGTAAGAAAATAGGATTATGATTAGATCTTAACAATGACAAGAACATGCAGGAAATCACAGAAAAGTATGCCATCTTCACCCAGATTTTATAAGGAAAACAGATTAAAACAGTGGCTCCATAATCTTTCATCTGAGTTTATGGTTTGGGGAAGTGCTCTGATAGCTACAATATGAAATGAGCCTGAGCACAGCGTTCTGTTCTCCACAGGGAAATATCAAACACAAACACAGAATGGTGGAAATAAGTGGGCAACAGCACTTCTGATAAAGGCAAGGGATTATAATGCAAGAGGCATGTAAAATAGACTAAGAAATGGTGTTGTGCCAGGAGCCTGATGTCATTCCAGAATTGTTATTATAAGGAAGAGATTATGTCAGGCAGGGAAGGCAATTACTGAACCCCACTCAATGCCAGCAAGGTTATCTGGGGAACTATGTCCAGTGTTTTATACTGAACCTCAGAAGAGATGCCAACAAATTGGATAGCATCCAGAAAAAAGAAAAATCTTCAGTACCTATGAGAAATTTTTTAAGCCCAAGCAAAACCACAAAAAAGAAAAAAGAAAAAAAGAAAAAAAGAAAAAAAAAAGAAGAAAAAAAAATGGAAAGAACTGTTGTTGTTATTTTAAAAGTCTGAAAGGCAAAGGAGAGACTGGAGAATTTTCTGAGATGCTAAAGGGTTTTAAAAACGTACATGTGATCAACTATTCCCCATAGTCAGTGGGGAAAAGAAAAAACAAGTCAATTTATTTTGAAGGAAAGATGGCTAAAAATCTAAAAATTTTATATTAAAAAATTCTTTCTCATTGTTAAAATTGTGGAAATCCAGAAAAGGCTGCTTTAAGGATCTGATGACATCAGAGATTTTGAAGAAGAGCTGAAACAAATGCTAGGGATGGACTAGAAATACCTCAAAATATCTCAGCAGGCTTAGTCACTTTCCAGCCCTTCATTCTTATGATTTTTGACTGTGTCTGCTATTTGTAGTTACAATCTATAAACTTAAAAGGAGGCTATGGTATCCTTAATAATATGCCAAAGGGCCTCATTAAGCCTATCATTTACAGACAGACCATCTTAGCATTGGATAAGTTCTGTAAAGCCCCAATTCATTTTTGAGACAAACAACTACAGTCAGCTCTAGCTGGATTATTCCTATTTTTTCATCCCAGGATAAGTAGTTCTGTAACCAGGGATTGGATTCAGAATCATGTTCCCCATGTGTCCTCCAGAATCAGAATTCCCCTTTCTTGCTCTCCATATTGTTTCCCAGTTATTTGCATTTTGCTGCAAATGAGACATGAAAAATGCCTTGGTTTTGTGTAGGTTTTTCCTTTTTTTTTTTTTTTTTTTTTTTTTTATGGAGGCACATGCAGCTTCTCTGGAAGGGAGAGTAGTAATGATCATTACCCGTTTAGACTGGCAAGTGGCAAGGGGTGTCTCTTCTCTCTGCTTTTGAGAGGTATTCCACTTATGGAGCTGCAGCAAAAGGAAGGGAAGGCACCACTCCTTTTCTTTCATTGTTTGCTGTTTTAGTAGCCATTCTGCAGCAACATGGAGGATAAAATTCCTGGATACTTGATCAAGCCTCTTTCAGGCTTGGATTCAAGGATATTCACTTTGGAAGAAATTCCACCCCAGCAAAAGGTGGGTTTCATTTAATAGCCTGTTCAGTCACAATGGCAAAAGTTTCTAAGCAGTAAAAGAAGTGGGCATCTGTGTGCAAGATTCTAGTCAGAAAATTTGAGGGATTTATGGCATTTCAGGCGTACAAATGCTATTTTGGATGACAACCTTACTGGTTTATTTTTCTTTTATTTTCTGTACTTTGCAGCAAAGACAGCATCTCCTGCCATGTCATGTGAAATGTCTGCTTACATCTGCAAGGCAAGGGCTGTTTGGATTTTTTTTCACATTTAGGCAGTAGAACACATACCCACATTTCTAGAATATAATACATACATCACCCTGTGTCAAGTTGCATAAATATACTCTGCAGAGAAGGGAAGGTGACAGATACAAGCAGTCATTTATTACTAAAGTATTTAACAGTCTATAGCCCTCAAAAATCTATCTTAGGGGTCTAGAAAGGATTCTTGCTTAAATTTTCAGGGTTAGTGAGCTTTTCATAACCATCATTTGCATGTGTGTAATAAAATAATTTTAATCCTGGAATGATTCCAGCAATTCTTTTGTCTCCCTCCTACAAAATTCTTGGGTTTGATTGTTATGAAGGAATGTTCATTATTCTAGTAGTTGAATTTATGACAATTATTGTATTGTTTTATTTGACAAGAAAATTCATTAGTAGCATAGTTTTCTGTTTCAAACTGAGCAAGAGCATTCATTCCTAGATGAAAGATAGGCAAAATGAGATATCTGTGATCATTTGTCTTAATCTCTGATAAGAGGTTTTAGATTTCTGAATGTTTAAAAAATGCATACCAGCAATACTTCCTAAATAAAATGAATGGCAATCTAAATTTATATTACTAGGAAGCAGCAGAATTTTTCTGTATTTAAAGAATAGCTTTCAGTTTCAAATCAAAATAATGGCTAACGCAGAAGAAAGGTAAAATGCAAGCATCTTGGAAAAATAAATAAATCTAATAGAATAGACAGGACTTGTTTGACTGTTTGGGTAGTGTATAAAGATTTAAATATTGCAGGTAAACATCAATTGACAGGCAAAACCCCTGCGAAACTGTGAGGCCCAGACTTACCAGCACTAAACTGTGACCCAGCATTCAGAATATCTAGTTCTTGAAATATAGCTACAGACAGAAGTAGCCTCTGCAGTCTCTAGTTGTAAAATAGTCCTAAAATAGATTCTTACAAGATTAGAAGGACTTACCTGATATAGTATTTCTTTCAAATTAATACAATGACTACTGTTTCAGTTAAGGTATTGCATGATTTGCTTTGCTTCACTCCCTAAAACTTATTTCTCTCTGAAGGAAAGCTGAGCAGTGTATTACCTCAGTTACAACATGGTGGTGGTGTATGGGATTTCTTTATCTACTTGTTTTTCAATACTTAACCTTATGACTCAAGAGTCATTATGTGCCCAATTAACTTTGGTTTATATACTCTGTGTATTTTAAGTATGCAGCATTGTTTCTTGAGAAAAATTACTTTTCTACAAAACTGGGATCATTTCACCCAGCACAGGCCACCCTGATATTATTACCTTATCACAGGTCAAAAGAGAACAGATGTTGCTGCTGAATATAGGGTCGGGAGGGACAGATTTGGTTATGCAAGACAGTAATACCTTAGCTTCTTTAAAATTGTACTACATTCTTGAACATCATTCAGAGACCTCTAGAAGATAGAAAGATTCTAAATTATCCTGATCTAGCACCTTTATTAACTGGAAGTACCTTTTAATGGTTCTCATGAAATTCATAAAGTTAGTGCCTGTAGCTTCTTTTGGCCAAAAAACAGTTGAGAAATCAGACTACAGAAAAGTGCCCTGTATGTAAAGCAATTTATGTTTGTGTCTTCTTGTTTGTGAAATGTGTTGCTAAGATGATTACACTTAAAAAATACATTTTAAGAATCTGTAAATACAATTTTTTTTTTTTAAATTTCTGCTCTTTCAATGCAGCCTTGTGGAACAGTCATTACCTGACCATTGTTCAGATTTTAGTGAGATGGTCATTACTCAAAATATATATGTAACTTTAACATTGTACAATTATTTTGAAAGCTGCAGTTCATTATATTGTCTAAATTTATGTATTTGCTTAGATTTTTGAAACAGTAAACACTCATTTTAACCCAGATCTTTTGACATCATATAGAATTTTTCATAAGTGCAGAACTGAAAGTCACTCCTGCTGAAAAATAATTCATTTGACCATTTTTCATCTCACCCATTCTACGATGTACCAAGTTCTGAAAAAAATAGTGCTATGCAATATGATCTGGAGGCCATCAGAACCAGGCTGTTTCAAGGTACAAGGAAAGTATGAATTTTAAAGGTGTGGAGCCTCCCCTAAGAATGGACTGGATCCTCCTCCTTTACTCTGAGTCTTTAAAGTTCCAGTCTGATTTCCCCTACTACCCCTATCCAGGTGAGTAAAGGTGGCCTTAGAGAAGAGACAGCCTCCTTGAGAAAGCCTACAGCTGCCAATTCATTTGAGTACCTGACAATCTAGGCAAATGCTCTACCTCTAGGCTAGTCCACCATCACTGTTTTTCCTTTTGGCTTCTTGTAATTAAAATAATGACTCTGTGTATAGTGATGTTTCATGATTCTTTCCAAGTGGTTGCAAGACTTAATGTCTTTCATTTTGAGGGGAATGGTGTAAATGTAAAGACTGTCAGTACAGAAGTGAGTAGCCTGAAGAGCCTAAGAACAGACTCATTCCAATCATGGGTAAAACAAAATTTGATTTCTTATCTGTAACAAGACATCCAGCTGGAAAAAAAAGAAACAAAACTATTTGCAAGACACCTTCAGACTTTCTTTTTCCCCTCTGTGAAACTTAGATGAGAAGTGTCAAGATTATATGTAATGAAACTGTCAGCTAAAAATATGATAATCTTTTAAAGCAACAAAGGCTAAGCACATTAAATAGTGTAATAATTTTTCATCCCAAGAGAATATATGTGAAAACTCGTGTAAATGTGATAATGGATTCTGATGCTGATGTATGAACCTTTTCCAAAATGTATAACCTCCTCCCCTCCATGCAAAGAAACTAGTGAGTATTACATGCTCAGGAAACAGATGTAATACTTAGCATAAACATGCTTTTTAAAATTTGGCTAACTGCTTTCTCTTTTTGTTTAACTGTCTTTGCATGCGCTGGGCAATGAAAATTGAAGACATACCTCCTGAAGAGAAAGTGTTTTCCCCCACTGTCAACCTCTTTGCCTCCATTGTAATATCATACAAATGACCTGTACCTACAAGTTGAAAGAAGCAATATACATGCCCTAGGTATGAGGCAATAGTGAACCTCCCTACTCTCTCCTTTTTTTTAAAAGGAAAAATCACTAGAGAAGTGGTGTCTTTCTTCTTTTTATTGTAGCCAAGCAGCAACTGGGAAACAAGAACATGTAACCACTTCATAACTACACCCATAAGTCCCAAATCCATGGTGAACCAAAACCATGAAATTTCTCTATGAGGGAAATGTCCTAAAACAAGTGATGTGACAAAATTATAGCTGGACTATAAGTCTAGAACTTGCCATAATGTGTCTTCAATAAGACCTGTTGTTGCAGTGTGCAATTTAAGCCTTGGACACTTGCTTAACAATGGAAAACTTACCAGGCTCTCTAGGTGGATCATTTCCTCTACATAACAAAACAGCAACGAGCCATATCTCCAAAAAGGAAAGAAAGAAAACAGCACTAAGCACGTAAAGTTTTTGTGGTATATGCTTAATTGTGAAGATTTTTGCAAAATGCTTTACATTCTAACTGAATGCACAGGAAGATATTTCCTAATTCTAAACAAATAAGCATTCTTGAATTTTAAGTATTTAAAATTCTTAAAAACCAATTAGTAGTCAACAGAAATAAAGCAACCAAATATGAAGAAAGGGTAAGTACAAGGTTTTATACCACTATTTTCCTACATGGCATTGCTGGCTTACAGTTCCTCATGGGCTGTTTAAGACGATAAAGATTTTCACAGTAGCAGAACAGATATTATTAATTACAAGCTTATTTGAAACCTAACTCAGCTGATAGAACTTATGTTCCCAAAATACTTTTTTTTTGCTGTTGTTTTGGTTTTAATTTAAAAAAAAAAAAAAAAAAAAGTCTAGAGGTCTCCTTGTCCAAAATTACAACGGTGACAAAACAGATCTCTGAGCATAAAACCATATCTGCATCAACCCAGCTGAACAGATTTCATGTTCAGCATTGAATTTCTATTCCAGGCTGACACCACAGGAATGAGGTTATATACTCATGTGGAAGTATAGACTGCTTGGAAGCAGCCAAGCAGCCAAGCCAAACAATGCATGCTTGGCCTGTGGGGTTCTTAGCATTGCAGAAGGGAGAAGATCTCTTATTAGCAATGCTTGTTAAAGTCTGTTGGAATGAAGTAATATAATAAAATCCTTTCATAACTATACCCAAAAAGGGAAGGTGACTTACTATACTTTATTTCATTTTGTTTCTCATGTTGGAGATGAGGAAAAAGTTAAAACTATATCCATAGAATCACATATTTTAACCTTGAATTGGTGTCTATCAGACATGAAATCTGTTTTACTACACAATTCAGAGCATACCCACCTACTCTCCTGCTAAATGTTGTTATGAGGATAGCTATTTTCTTATTTTGTGCCACTTACAAAGAGAAGGTTGTTGAGCCTATTATCTTCGGCTGAATGCATAAGTGGTTTTGGAGCCATAGAGAAAGGAGTAGAAAAACAAACTCACTGCCAAAGAAACTATTTAACTTGTCCCCCACCTTGTGATTTCAGCTTCCCATTCTTGCTCTTTGCTAATAGACTCCTTTTACCTTCTGCCTAGACTTGCCCAAACATCACTTCTTAGTATCGCTGATTTTCATCCTTCAGCTAAGGGTTGACTGGTAATTGCAGAATGTAGATAATTATGTCCTAGTCCCAGGAGTAGCTTAAAAAAAGTAGAGATGTGGGAATTTCTATTTTTCTTCCCCTTTTCATCCTGCTGAAAACTTTCTAAACTAAGTATGTGCATCTCTAGAGGGAATATTTCTCAAAAAATATAATATAGATAATTCATCAAGTTGAAATAGAATAGAATAACAAAACTGGGGGAAGAATATTCTGTAACAGAATGCAGGAAAAGAAGTGACATGGTGACATTATTTGTATAGACAAGCACTAGTGAGATGGAAGTTTAAAAAGCTGCTTCTTGCTGTAGGCATGCTTTAGTTTGCTGTTCAGTACAGTTTTCCACTATTTTTGTCATTGTTGCTGAAGAACAATAACAAAAATAGCCATTAGGATCATGGGATAAAAAGAAATCTTGTTTTTTGTCCTCTCTGACTTGTGGTGCCTGGAAAAGGATCAGTCTGGCTGTGTACCCAACAAGGTGTCTCTCTGCTGCAACTGTGCTTTATTCTAGCAGTGGTGGGTTCCTGCAAAGGTGTCTGTGCACGTGTGTAGGCTGTGGTGACTTTAGAAAAAACAAAAGTAGTTTTTTATTCCTTCAGGTGTCTAGGTTCTGACTTTTTGTTTGGTACTTGAAATTCTGACTGTTGTCCTCTCAGCCCCTTATATTCTAGCAATTAGTTTTCAAGTTGCTTTATTGGGTTTTTGTCAATGTACAGTCTAGTATTTCTCCCAACTGAGAGATTCTCCATTTTCTTTTGCTATTTTCATTCACTCCATGTGAAAAATGCCCCATCCCTTCCTCAATCTCCTACATTTTCACAGCTGTAGATGTATATGACTACCAAACAGCACACCTCATGCACCATTCATCCTTTCATCCATTTCATCCTTGTTTATCTCCTGGACAAATTATGGCAGAAGACCTTTGATCCCTCTTATTACATTTATTCCCCCTCTCATGTCCTCAGAATCCTATCTGAGGTCTGAATATAAAACCTGGACATACTTGCAAGTTTTTATTTAAGCCATTTTAGAAACCACTGTGTTTGAATTTTCCTGTGTTTGCTACCACTAATAGTCTTGAACATTCTTTTAACTTCTTCATTTCGCTAAGAAAGTCAGAAGTTTTTATCATCCAAGTTTGAAGGACTTCACCCCCTTTTCTATGCTCTTTTAAATTTCTTTTTCATATTGAGAAGGAGGTAAAAGAGAACCAGAAAACAACACTTTAAAGTTTTGAGTGCCCTCTTCACCCCTCCAAAGAATCTGAGAGCCCAGAGAGACATCTCTGTTATTTCTGTGGAGATTTGTTTTCCATTTGATCAGGCTAAGATGAGTAAGGGTGAGCAAAAGGTGTTTGAGAAGTAACCCAAAATTTAAACCATGCTTTTATGTGAGCTTTATTTTTTTCTTTGAGGATTTATTTTCTTTAATGTTATGAAGGACAAATAGTGCTGTCAACCATATCAGATTAGATCTTGTGGTGCAATGGGCCAAGTTTTATGGGATCAGGAAGAGTATACTGAGGATTTTTCTGGTTGCATTTTATCTTCATAAATTCATAGCATCAGCTTTCAATGCTTGGCTTGAGCAATGAGGGCTCACAGTTTCCATTGCATTGTCTCCAGCAGTATCCTTTTTCTGCTTCCCAGCTCACAATTTCAGATGAAAGACAAGTTCCTGAAAATCTCAGTGATCTCTACTGATTACCTTTTCTTTACTGGAATTCAGCACCAATGATTCGTCAAGTTTTGTTTTGTTCAGTTATGGAAAATCAAGATTGGTTCAAGGTTCAATGTGATAACATTTTACTGGTTGAAAATAGTGCAAGTTTGATCAATACCATGTTAAAGGAACTTGTCCTGATGCAGTAGACTGGCTTCTACTGGTTTTACTGCAGATTTGAAAACCGGAAAAGTTCGAACATAATATGTATAGAATCTGGGCACAAAACTGTATCAGTGGATTAGTGGCATGTGTTATGGTATGATGATATTCCTCTAGTGGGTTGTCCTTGCCGTATGCCAGGACTGAGAAGAGAAAATATAATGGAGGGTCCATGTGCTGGGATAAGGTAAGAGAGAGATCACTCATTAAATACTGTCAGGGGCAAAACAGACTAGAATCAGATATATTAATTGAATGCATTACTAACAAAATCAGAGCCAGATAATAAGAAGCAAAAACAGATCTAAAAAAAGTCTTCCCATCACCCTCCCTCCTTCCCAGCTCTATCTCCTCTCCCAGAGGTGCAGGGAGACAGGGAATAGGGGGTTACAACCCTAGTTTGTCACAGATTGTTTCTGCTGCTGCTCAGGGAGAGGAGTCTTTCCTCTGCTCCTTTGTGGGGTGCTTCTCATGGAAGACAATCTTCATGAACTTCTCCAATTTGAGTCCATCCCACAAGAGACAATTCCCTGCAAACAGCTGTAGAGTGGGTGACTCTTCCATGGGGTGCAGTCCTTCAAGGACACGCTGCTCCAATCTGGGCACCCCATGGGGTCACAAGCCCTGATGGGAAACCTGCTCCAGCATGGGCATCCCACAGAGTCACAACCTCCTTTCAGGCATCCACCTGCTCTAGTGTGGGGCTCCTCCCCAGGCTGCAGGTGGATCTCTGCACCCCTGTGGCCCTCCATGGCTACAGGGGCACAGCTGCCTCACTATGGGCTGCAGGGAATCTCAGCTCTGACACCTGGAGCACCTCCTCCCTCTCCTTCTGCATTTGGCCTTGGTATCTTCAGAGCTGCTCCTCTCACATGTACTCAGTCTGTTCTTCCCAGGCCACAATTATATCTACACAATAACTTTCTTCTTTCTTCTTAGATATGTCATCACAGAGGTGTTATCACTGTTTCTGATTGACCCAGCCTTGGTCAGTGGTGTTTCCTTCTTGGAACAGACTGAGATTGACTCTGCTGCACATGAATGAAACCTCTGGCATCTTCTCACAGAAGCCGCCCCTGTAACCCCCTTGGTGCCAAAACCAGGACACACAAACCCAATACAATTCCTAATCTCAGCTCAGTCCATCTCTGTAATAAAGATTGTTATCTTTATTGCAGAGATAACAATTATGGAAGAAGAAAGGAAGAAAATATACCAGATGCTCATGGTATGGTAAGAACAGACTGGAATGACTTGATGTTTTTCAGTTAGGATCTGGGTTCTGGAAATACTTGATGTGCTGGTGAGGGAGGAGTACATTCATCCTTTTTGTATGGGGGAGATCCTTGAGTTGACTGAGTCAAATCAGCTTCATGATCTGAGGGATTTCTGCTTCCTGGTCTGTGGGAGCCAAATCTGGTGTCTGTGGGGACTGGTTTGCCTTACCTCCTGGAGGAAAGGAAGGAAAGCCAAATGCTTGAACAGACTCTGGACTGAGCGGATGACAAATCTCCTGTTTGTCTTGTCACAGAACTTATTCCACTCCCAAACACTTATTTTTTCTGCCTTACCAAGTAGGCTAGGAGCTACGTGTTGTCACAGTGAATGCTGCTATTTCTGTCCTGAGTGTTAGCTGGGAAAACCTTAGCCCAATGTCCATTATACGACACAGCTGTCCAGGAGCAGTCATTCCAGCATGATTACCAGATTGACCAAACTTCTTGCTGCTTGCAGTGCTCCCCTAGGACAAAGCTGTTGCCGTGTTTTATGGAGTGTATCATAAGTCTTTTTCTCCCTGTCTCCTCACTCTTGTACCCAATGTGCTTTGCAGAAATGACCTAGGGGACTTCTAGATGTTTTCACACACATGGAGCACCTTCCACAGAGTCTTGTTTCTGTAAAGGGAACAGAAAGAAGCTGAAATTATGCTGTCTTAATCTATAACAGTAATCACAAATTAACCATTTAATTAATTAATTAATTGATACAATTCTATGAGGAGATAGGTTACAAATGCTGTCCTCTATCATGTAGCCTCCTTTCTTTGAAATGAAGTAATCACTTCATATGAACTTACAAGGTAAGGGAATAGCCCAATGATGCTGTAAACTAGAAGGCATCCATGTCTGTAAAATATTATTCTTTTTCTCAGACATTTGCAAACATTAACTGGTACCTCTCATGATGACCCTTTGAGATGCTTTCATCTGTGTTTGATGGAGTGGGAAATAGATAAAAAGCTATGAAAGAACCAAGGAAAGGTCAGAGAGTGAAATTTGTGAAATCATGTACATCCCTGCTTGTTCTTTCTAAGTCAATGACCTTCCCTATGTCCTTCAAAGCAATGCATAGTAGTTTTACTTGTATCTTTCATGTTTCATTCAACATAGCATAAGACCATGAATAATGAAGTTCACACTATACAGGCAGGGTAGCTATTGATTTACACAAGGTATGTATCATTTATTAATCTGCAAATACTATGCAAATATATGCATGACAAGAAATTAAATCAATTCCTGTCACTTCACTTTTCAGTCTGCATGCTTTCATGAGTATAAACTTGACATTAATATTAGTTTCCAGGAATGTACTTGCTGAGAAAGCAATGATTTACACTGGTGTGCAAATCACTCATATGAGTGGAGAGTTTTTGAAAACAGTGTGTGTAACCTGGACCTGCTGTCCCATGAGTGCCATTTTATAGATGATCTTAGATCCATTCATTATACCAATTGCTAAAGCATAATAAAAGAAAGGGAAAACTCACTTAATTTTTAAGGTCTTGTGGATGGTCTCTATTTGAAAGGTAGAAGAATTAAAAGTGAGGGTTGGGCAGAAATCATGCTGAACAGAGTGCTTTGGATGAAACTCAGGGACAAAAAGAGAGTTTGTGACCTTTGGGAGAAGAGGCAGGAAAATCATGAGGACTACAAAGTTTCATGAGGTTATGTGGGAAGAAAAATAGAACGGTCAAAGCCCAACTAGAACTTAATCTGGCCACAGCTGTAAAAGACAATAAATAATGTCTTATTAATAAATAATAAATACATCAGCAACAGAAGGATTACTAAAGAGTATCTCTGATTGAATTTGGGGGGAAACACAGTAACAAAGGATGGGAAAAAGACTGGGATTACTTACTGCCTTCTTTGCCTCCGTCTTTAATAGTAAGAGCTGGATACCAGGCCTCTGAGCTGGAAGACAGGGATGGGGAGAAGAAGGAAGCCCCCATGATCCAAGTGAAAATGGTCAGTGACCTGCTACACCACCTAAGCACACAGAAGTCTGTGGGGCTGCATCCACCTAAAGGTACTGAGGAAGCTGACAGGAAGTTCTGGGCCACTTTCCATCACTGAAAAGCAATCCTGGTTAACTAGGGAGTTCCGAGTGATTGGAGGTTAGGCAGTGTGACATCCATCCATAAGGTGGGTTGGAAGAATCCCAAAGAACTACAGGCTGTCAGCCTGACCTTGGTGCTGAGTGCCATCATGAATAAATCATTCTGAGTGCCATCACGTGGGGTGGACAGGATAACCAGGGGATCAGGGACAGCCAGCGTGAGTTCATGAAAGACAGATCCTTCTTTACTTACTTGATCTCCTTCTTTGACAAGGTGACCTGCTTAGTGGATGAGGGAAAGGCCATGGATGTTGCCTACCTAGACTTTAGTCAAGCTTTTAACACCATTTCCCAGAACATTCTCCTGGAGGAACTCATGGCTGCTCACAACTTGGACAGGAGGCAAACAGCTACAAAGAATTATAGAAAAAAAAATATTTAGGGGTTCTTCTTTGCTCTTTGCTGGATAGCTTTGTGCATTTCACTGTTTTCAGAATACCTGATAATTTCTTGATATAGAGTGGGACACTGAGACTCAGTGGCCTCTGTCTGAGTAATAAATATTTTGGTGGTAGTATTTATAGCTTCTACTTACTGATATATTAGGGAACAGACATCTTCCAAATCTGAACACATCTGAGTTTGAGCGTGATCTGATATATACTTTTTTTGAGAAAATTGAATGGCTTTTTTTAGATAGTTGTATGTAGTGGAATATCTGCTAAAGGAAAGCATTGGGTCATGACAGAAACACTGTGAACAAATTCAAGATACTTTTTCTTAAGAAATGTATGGTTTTATTTCTGTAAGCTGATTTTTTCCCCTTTCATTTTAAAATGAGGTTTTCACCTTAGCATCTTTAGATATCCTGAAACAAGAAAGATAAAAAATTATTGAACTGGAGATTGCGATCTGAGCATTTTCTGTATTACTATGAGATGGTTATGTCATAAGAAAAAAACCCCAAAAATTCATGGTTAAAGCACAGCTCCAGAGGTTCAGTTAAGCATTCAGTATGAACATCTGCAGGTTGAGTCTCAGACTTCCCTAATGCAATGACCTCATTTCTCTACAAATTGGTCTCTGTACTCAGCTGGTTGTAGGTTAGTTAAAATCAACCTCTCTCTGCTAAGTTGTACTTCAAAAATTCTTTTAGAAGTTCTCACACTGAATAAATTTCCATCTGTCAGTTCACATGAACTCATCCATATCTTCCTGGAACAAAAAAAGTCTGAACTAACTGTTGATGGAGTTTTATGACTCATTGAAGCCCTGAGCTATGTGAAACTGGCTTTAATTTCTAAAAATCAATATTATGTTTAAGCTGTATGTGCCTCTGATAGTCTTACCCCAGTGAAGGAGCAAATGCACTCAGTATAACAGGTGAAAATAGATTTTCACTCAATTTTAGGCTGAAGTAGTGTTTCTGAATATAGCTCTGATAACAAAGCTCCGTTGTTGGCTTTAAGTGAAACCGTTGTGTAATACATTGCAGGCAGCTGAGTCTGCTGCAATGGAAGAGAAAGACAAAGCCCTTTTGGCAGGGTTTTCAAAATGAAAATTAAAACTTTCTGAGGGTGAATCACTTCCTGATGGGCTGATAATATTATGAAATCTGTTTGTTTTAAATATTGGTGGTGATATATGGAGCCCATTGTATGCCACAGTCATTTGATGGTGTGTGATTCACAATACAATTTCCTTCCCACTGCAAGCTATTTGTGTCAGTCAGAGAAAAGAAATAACAATCCATCTCTGGGTCTGTATTGCCCTGTTTAGACCACTTTGGAAAGCTACATAGAGTCCTGGATAATACAGCTTGAATTATATTTTTTCATAGCTTTTTTTTCAGGTATTGTGAGCTTCTCATGCAAACCCAGTATAAAAAAATAAAATTATCTATGTTACTGATATTCTACCATCCCTGCAATGAAAAATACAGCAAGTGACATATATATATATATATAGGAAATGTAAACATGTTACATTTCAGAAGTCTGCATTTACATTGTTCATTACTCTGTTAAACATTGCAGCACATTTTTGGTATATCCCTTACTGGTTTCTTAAAAGAGTGAGAATTAACATCCCTGTGGGCTGCACTGATGGAATGACTTTGCCCTTGGCTATTTCTGTAGCAGTTTTCAACCCTTGGTTAGACCTCCCTTAAACTATGTCTCTTGCTTTGATACTAAAAAAGAGGTTCTCAATTGACCACATTTGTCAGTATTTATTTTTTTAGTCTGCCAATAACTTTAGCACTTTTAATTGATTTACCACTGATTCTTTATTACCAAAGGAATGATAATAGATCACATGAGTGCACTGTACAAGGGAGTTGTGCCTCTCTTTAGAATCATCTCTGGACATTGTGGAGCATCTCTGTCTGCAATGTGTAATTTTGGTAATTAGAACAAGGTTAATAGCAAAAATCTTGTGACACAACATGAAAATATCATTTTTCTGAGATATTTTTTAGTATATGTTTTAATTCATTAGGGTAAGTGACATGAAGTAATTGAAGAAACAGTGAAAAAAGAGTGAAGCTAAGCATTTAGTTGTTCTTTTTTAAATGATGTTTGACTTTTTCTAATCTCCAGATGTCACAAAAAGAACAATGCTGCAAGAGAGAACTAGTGTTTACTATGAAGAAGATGATAAACAGTTTTGATTTGAATCCTGTGAATATATGTTTGCATAGGAGTCATGGAAATTCAGAACCTGCTGGAAGAGCCAGAATATAGAGCTGCTTTGGAGCAGAGTTAATGTCATTACTCCATTAATCTTACTTCTGAGCTTGTTTAAAAGTAGCAGACTTGCAAATGACTTTGAGTTCTGCAGGAAGATAATTTTAATTTTATGAGGCACTTTTACACAGAAGTAGGCATTTTGCAGCTGAAAGCATATGGTTTTGGAATTCTCCCTGTCTGTCATAAGGACTGGATGATGCCAACACACTCTCCTGCCTTCAAATACTATGGCCCTTTGTAGAGTTTTGCCTATTAATAATGTACTTTCTTAGAGAAGAACTCCCTATAAGAAGCAGATACTGTGAAAATCTTGTTACTGGATCCCAATGAGGTTAATAACTACTCTGCAATACTCACCAGCCTCCATTAGCCACTAATGCTCAAGAGCTTTAATAAAGATTAACCACCTTCTCAGGGGCCTCTGAAAGCACACAATCAAGAGCGGTATATAATTTTGTGTACACAAAATACCAAAGACACTTTGTTTAGGATTCTAACATTCACCTTGCAACAAACAAGGTAGAGAATGGAGCTATGTCTGTTCAAAAGTTTCAGAATTCCTGAGGTTCAAAGGCTGTGAAGGGTTTCAGCATCAGTTCCCCATCTGTTGCAATAAGCAGCAATTTTAATAATGAATATACTTTGTGGAAGCTTCAGGTCTGATCATTCAATTACATTTTTTACCTACTGGTTCAGTCACATTTTTTTACAGTAGTTAAAACTAAAACAAACAAAAAGGTTCCTCACAATCATGACCTTGCAATAATATCAGACCTTTCCTTTTCTATTGAAATAGGAAAATGTGGGTAGCTAGTAGACGAGGTATTGTAGCTTACTCAGATATAGGGCTGCAAAGCAAATATATTCTTGCTCATATTCTTTGTAAAAGTTGTGTTGAATAGTTTGTTCTGAAGGTCTGTACATTACTGTAGACTCCCCCAGACTATGTGATATTTCTGCTATTCAGTTCCTTCAAATGAAATCAGAGGACCAAGATGCATTAAGTGCATCTGAATTAATAAAAACAATGTTTTATGGATACGTTTAATCCTCCGTTTGTCATTTAAGAGTTCCAAATACTGTGATATCTAGTGTATACAATTTAAACTTGTTCTTAAAGAGAAAAATTTGTTTACTTCTTCAATGAGTATTTAATAATGGTAAACTCATTATGGAGTTATTTTATCTCTTTACAGTTAGCCAAATCTTGCAATTATTACTACCTCTCAAAACAGTAATCAAAGCTGCTCTTGCAGATCTTGCCGTTCCTGAGGTGAATTGATTTCACCTGTACCTTTGAAGTTTTAAATCAGTATGCATTTTTATTATCTCTTCTGTGCCAGTAAAACCTTTCATTTATACCTTTTTTTTTTAAGAAATGCTACAGAAAGACAAATCACTGAGACTATGATTTAACTGGAAACTATTGTATATCCAATATCCTGTTGAAAAAGCAACACCTGTACCTTTTCCTTGATTCTTAAGGAACACACATCTCTCCTACAATGTCTGGTAGATGGTATATTGTGATTGTCATTAGTGATTTCAGTTGCTGGTATCAGAATGACTCATGTAATTATCTGGAAGTACACAGTGCTGATAGTATTTAAACACATGTTAAATTTCAACAAAATCTGTGAATTCATCAGTTTCCTTTATGAATTAGAATCATATACTAAAGAATATCAGTGCCATTTTGTGTGTTTAACTGCTATTATTTAAACCGTTCTTATTTATTTTGTCTTGAAAACAGCTTCAAATGCAAATATACTTCACAGAAAGTTAAAAAAATCATCTTTGCTCCTTACATAAGGATTCAGCCACAAGGAAAAGTCAGCTATGTTCTAGGAGAGAATAATTTTGTGTTCATTTTTCTCCAACTTTCATTCTCACTTTTTGTGCCTATTGAAATGGAGATTGAGTAACAAAGACACCATACACAGCATTCCAGTCATTACTGTTCCTGGTAAAAATACAAGATTAATTTATGACCATTTACTTAAATACTTCTGTCTTTAGTGATTTTAATTCGTCTTTACTCAAGTGAGATTTTTTATTCTGAGGAAATATCTGCTAGAAGATGCTGGCATGGTTAAAAGGGGGCATCATAGCATCCTCCATGTGATTCCTGAAGCGCTTTGCTCAGGGTTGCATTAGAGTGTGCTACAGCAAGGCCAGAGGTGGTTACAGTGAATGCGAGTCCCTCAGGTGTCTGTTTTACTAAGGAAGGTACTCAGTTAACTGAGATGTCAAAAGGTTAAGGATGCAGAATGGCAGGTCACATCACCAGCTAGAAAGATACATTGCTGTTGCCTTTGCTGTGTCCTGCACATGGGTATGCACACGGTGGGTACCCAGTGAGTGCCTCATTAACAATAATAAATAAGAGATCAGTAAAAGTCTTCAGCAAAAACTCCTGCATATTTTTCAGTTCAGCTTTCCTAGGAATTCAGGAAACATTTTGTCTTAGAAAAATTGGTACCAAATTTCCCCCCTTTAGCACTACTTACAGTTCTCTGTCAGTTCTTCCTCTTTGTCACCTGCCTTCCCTGCATTTTTACCTGCGCAAAACCTACATTTGATTAAGAAAAACTGTGGTATCTTAGGTACCATTGTATGGCTGCTGATGGTAAGTGCTCCTGGCTTAATCATCTTTGTTAACTACTTAGTTGCTTCTCTGGTCCTTCTTTGGAGTTTGTGGTAAAGTTTTTAGTTATCAAGGAAACAAACATTTGGTAAAGAAAAAAAGTACAATGCAAATATTATCTTTAGTGGGAAAGCAGTAAAACTATTTTGTAAGTTTTGTAGCAAAACTAATAGAAAAGGAGAAGTTAAATAATTATTGTAGCCTACTGTATTTCCACAGTGGATAAAGTAGCCATGTTATGGTTCCACCATTAAGGAAAACAGATGATTAGGAAAAATGATTATTTTCCTCTTGCACTGATTTCAGTGACACTACTTACAAAAGACATTTTTAATCAGCGTGGAGAAGGGTGACAGAATTAAGCAAAAACATGTAGTGTCTTGAAACTATTAGATAATGCTGCATCTCAGAGAGATCCTCCATTCAAGGGAGACTGGATTTTAAATTCTTTCTGTTATTTATAATGATTCTTTCCACAGTATGGTGTGTTTGAAAAAAATTGCTTGTTTTAAAAAATTGCTTGTTTTAAAAAATCATGGGGAGTCAGTATACAATCTGGCATAAGTAACTCTGAATTAAAATAAACAGAACCCTGAGTAGGAGGAAAACAAATTCAAAGAGGAGTAACTTTAAAAAGACATGAAATGAAATTTTAAGCAGTCAGATAGTAGTGCAATTAAAATTACCAACCTGAAATTAAAATTCTGCTAAGGGAAATATAGTAATTTAGGAGACCAGATAATTTTTGATCATATTAACAGTGTAACATGGTCATGAACCATTCCCTTATATAATATAGCAATACTTTTGCAATATGGAACACATTTGCCTTTTTAATTACTTAGCTGTTAAAAAAAATTACACTTTTATTCCCAGTGGATAGCTAACAAATTGTGACTTTTGCTTTGCTTCATTAGAATTGGGTAAACGTGACCTTGACATACTTCTTGGAGCTTCATCAAATTCACTTATGGCAGAGGAAGGAGTTAATGACTGAATTTCTGTGTAAATTCTCCAGCATTCCCCAGAACCCTGTAACTGGCAGATAATTCTTTTTCACTGTCTCTTCCTGTTACTGATGGCTTTTAACTTTCATACGTCTGTTTTATGGGGCAACTCCAGTTTGGGCACATTAAAGGGAAGGGTATTATGGAAAAAAGATAGGTAAGTTTAAAAAAATCCATATCTACCTTGTGACAAAATAAACCCAACACAAATCTTTCTTCTCAAATTTCTGCCTGGAGGTGGTACTGAAGAATACAAGTTGGCAAAATACAATCCCAAATGGCTTACGATAAGCTGGTTTATGACTTCCACAGTTTGCATAGCCATTTTCTTTTGCAATCTGTACCGAAGAAGAAAAAAAGGAATGCAATGCCCATCTATTTTAGAACTATATATACCCAGAAAGAAAAAAAAAGTACATGTAATTATCTCTTTAAAATGCTGCTTAAGGATCAAGCTTTTAGCTCTGCATAAACCAAGACTGGGAGACCTATGAGACCACCCCAACAGAATATGGCTTTAGTGATTGTATGTGAATTGTATGATACAGTGCTATGGGCTTTCCAGATTAGTAAAAGAGCCTCTTTACTGCAACAGATTCAGGTTATCCTTTGACAGGACTGGAAAACATTCTCCTTGTATTATGGCTCAGAACCATGTCCCAGCTGTCTCTCTCTGCTGGTATCAGAAAGGAGCATATAGGGTCAATGTGGTGAGATTCAAGCCCTGTTCATCTTACATTGGCATCAACAGCACATATGGATTTTGGGATGTGTCACAGGTTTGTCAGATCCAGGTATTTCTCCCAGGAGCACCTCTAGATCCCTAGGTGTTATCTGATGCTGAGAGTTTTGCGCTCTGCCTCATATTTTTCCTCTCTGGTTTGATTACAAGTAGCCACACTTTAAAAATGGATATTGCTTTATTTCTGTCTTCCAGTGTTTTCTGCAGGGTCATGCACACTGCCTGCATGCTCCAGGTGATACTGAAAAGATTTAACAAAGGTGCAACTGATGATGGGACACATAGTACAGGCTCAGGTGGTTCTCCTTTAAAGACTGTTCCAGAAGGGCAGCCATATTTTGACAAAGTTAGTTAAGATAAAACAAAATAAACAAATGCTTTGATTTAATCAAAAACTTGATTTGTACTCTTGATTACTGTTGAAACCAAGTGGTGATCTTTAATAATTTCAGAATTCATCTGGAGGTACTTCTAACAAAGAGACAGTGGTGCCCGAAGTAGTCTTAACTCAGTTTGACAACTAGTAATAGGCAACAGCTCTTACCACAGGCATCAGTTCATCCCTTTAGTCCATCAATTCAGCTCAAACAAGCCCCACTTGTGTAAATTCTCTGCTGGAGTTTCTGCTGGGCGATTATCCTCTGTACCTGTAAACTTCTCTAATCATGTTTGCCATTGGCTGCTTGTGGTCTCCCATCCAACTAAAACTCCTCTGTCCAACCAAAGCTCCTCCATTATGAGGAGCTCCTCCATTTTTCTCATTATGGGGGATGGACTCATCCTCTTAACCAGACTGTTTTAATGGTCTGTCACACACTCTGTTACTAGACTGTGTAGACCTTCCTTAACACATAGATTCATAAAACAATATGTACAGAACCTGCTGCTCAGTGTCCTCATTTACTCCACAAGAAATGCTTTCTCTTTCACGTAGCACACCAGATCACCCACTGACACCTTTTATTCCTCAGAGCTATCCCAATGATTTTACCAGTCCAATCATAAGAATTATTCTTTTTTAATTTTAGTGTTGCCAATTAAATCACATTTCCCCTTATCCATGGGAATTTCCATTTCACTCTTCTTGTTACCCTGGCATCTGGTATCCAAGAGACCAAGAGTTTCTTGTCTTTGAGTTTGGTGTGTTTGTAGTTCTGCTGGTTGGCAATAAATTGATCGTGACTTATGTCCCTTTGCAGCCCTCTCCTGGTGTGTTAGCTGTGTTCCAGCTAGTCTCCAGCTAGGGCTACACTGCTTACACAAATGATGCAAGCTCTGCAGCTCACACAGGCCTACCATGCATACTTTTTTGCTGCTCTGAAAGGAAAATAAAACATAAAGAAGGCAAGTCACAGCAACTGTCTTCCCACTGGCAATTTTTACTGACTTACAAGAGATATTCTTGCAGAGAAAGGACCAAAATACCTTCTGCATCTCTCCCGGTGTCCCATTGACCTGGCTTAGGGACCCTCTGTGTATATCTCATCATTACCATTCTTGCGGATTAACAAACAAGGAATCAGATTTCCCAGATTAATTTTTAAATGAAATATCTCCAAATAATAGTATTTGTTTCAGGGGTTTCTAAAATGTTCAGGTCTTTATGAAGTCTCATTTTCCAACTTTTCCTTGCAACAGAAAGAGCTAGAAATCTGTAGGGTTTGTTTTTTTTTTTTTCCCTTTTAAAAAAAATTTAATTTTTTAAATTTTTTTTATTTTTTAAGGAAAACTGTGGCATTTATTTCAGGAACTGGAACTTGAAGAAAAATAATATTATCAGGAGATAAATTGCAACAGTGGGGGAGCTTACAACACTGTTGTCTTGTGTACATCTTAGGAGTCTTTGAAATCACATCCCAGCTTCTTGTTCAGAAAGGTTTGCTAGCTGACCAGAACAGATCTTCAGCCTCAATGCAGCACCTGGTAGCTTGGTGGAACACATTCAGCTTGGTCAGTCCTACCTGGGGTGGTCTGGAACCATGCACATACTGAATAAAATTGCTGAGTTTGCACATTTTCGAACTCTGAAAATCAGTTCATAGTTTTGTATCTGAATTTCAGGTATGAAATTGGGACCAGAATTTCAGTTTGGACACCTAAACAGGTTTAAATCAATATACTTGGTACAAACAGATCTAAATTTATGGGGAAGAGAAAGACATATTTGAGATGCAAATGAAAATATTGTTATTCTAACTCTCCCTAATGAAAATTCAGACCATGCAATAAACCCACACAGTTTCAATGTTGTTGGAGAGTTTCTTCACAGATCATTGGCAGCTATTTCCCCTGGAAGGATGTTGGTTCAGTGGCAAGAGAAAGTGACTATCCATCTTCTCCTTAATGCTCCTTGTCATCATAGTACAACTTTATTGTCTCCTCCTTTATTGTAGTTTTAGGCAGTTCTTTACTGTGACCAAGCAAAATATGTTACCACTGTTGAATGACTGATTCAGATCCTAACACACTGGCATGTATGTTACTTGTGGAAATGTGAGAGCTGAATTACACTAAAGCAGATTTTCTCTGCTCAGTGACAGTGCAGGTGAAGGAAACCACCAAAACAGAGCGTGAGAAGTAGGGCTTTTTTATTGTGCTGGGGAACTGTACCTGTGACTTTGACAGTTGAGGGTTCTTAGCTGCTCTCAAAATGAGCCCCAAATATTCTGTCCTCTGCAAGCTTTTATTGCTTCAGCTCTGATTGATGGGTTCAAAGAGCTGGAGCCTAAAGATAAGTCTTTAATGGATCACTAAATTGTGACTGCCAAGCAAATTATTGTAGGTTTTAGAAATTGTACTATCTAGAAGACAACATATTTCAAGAGTGAAATTTTATGCTGGAGGGAAAACAAAAAAAAACCCAGCATTTTCAGTAGTGGTTTTAATGGCTGGCTTGTTCAGAATGTTTACTTTCTGCTGTCTCCTTTCTTGCTCAGCATCTTCACTTCATCATCTCTCCTTTCTGCCATATACATGTTAGTGTATAAGTTCATTTTATTACCCTTCATATATTATTTTTCAGCTTTTAGATTTTTTCCATAGTTATTAATTTTAAAATAAGTACAGATACTTTTTGAATGGTTTGCAAGGTAAAAATTCCTTTTTGAAAGGAATATTCACAGATGTCATATAAGGAAGTAATTCTTCATGTGTGTTTACATGTCTTTGTGCAGAAATAGCTTGGACATTGAAGTTGTGACCTTTTCTTTTGTCCATGTTGTCTTCATAAACATTTAATGTGAAATATTTAAAGGCTTAGATATAGCTTTTCTACACTGGGGCAAAACTTACAAACCCAGATTTTGCAGCTTGCTCACAAATCATTTATCTGGACATGGAACCTATTTTTAAAACAATATTTGTGTCCAATGCCTATTTTTGTGTTGAGCATGTGTTGAATTGCCTTTGACAAGAATTGGAAGCAGTTAAGTTTAACAACTGTAATACCACCTCAGGTATTGCTTGTCTATGAATTGTTGCTATTGCTGTATAATAACAAACCTGGAAACAGTACATATCTAAAGAACTCACAGTCATTAACCTCTCTGTTAACAGATCTGTTTAAAGGTTCAGAGGATGATAGGTTATGTTTGGAGCAATTTTGTCTATGTATGAATTAGATTGCTTCTTTGTCATTATTTTTATGACCTATTTGTATATCAAAGGTTTTATTATGCAGTTTTGTGTGATTTATTCCTTATGCAATATTTTAAAATATTTAAATTAAAAAATAAATCTGCAGACCACACTTAAATATGCAGGTAGAAAACAAATTTATGAAAGGATTTGAATTTAAAAAAGCCTGGTAAAAATGTGAACATTTAAAAGAAAATTTTTGCTCAAAAATATTAGGAAATCAGGAATCAGCATTTGGTAATAAAGCAAAAATTAGAATTTGTAAAGTAATTTTAATTTTGCAATGAAATACAAGTGGCACATAATTTGTCATGTAACGAAGCACATGAAGAATGTTGCTACACATTTTGGTTTAAAAATGGACATGAAGCTGACTTTGATTAGCTATGAAAAGAGGAATATCTTGCTTCTGCACCTGAAAATATGTAACTTTTCTATTGCTAATATTAGTATGAATTTGGATGAAAGAAATAAAAAAGGTTACACAGTCACATTTTATTAAGCCGACAAAATACTGAAAAGAATAACACACATTTTCAGTGGTAGTATAGTAGACTTCTGGGTACCATTGATGACTTTATTTTGCTTGGGTAAGCATTTTGTGATCATTACAAAGTCCTCATAGCAATGAAAGTGCAGAGTGAAATGAGAGTCCGAAATGAAAATCATTAGTTTGCTTGGGATGTCTTCAAAAGAACACAGAGAAACTGAGGTTTGCAATGTATTGCCCTCCAAAATACAAAATTTGGCATAACAGAGGAGTAATAAGTCCCATTTTTAGCCAGGAAGGTGAGTAAAAACTTATTAAAAGAACAGCAATGGAAAATACATCCTATAGAGCAGTAATTTTACTTCAGTATGTTGTGCTTTTATTATCAAATGTACTGGGTCATGTGTTGTCTTCTGTTTTAAACCCCCAAAACTATAAGATGCTGTTTTAACCTGGGTAAGTGTCTTGGAAAATAGATGTTTAGCTTAACTTTTCCGACAACATGGAATTGTACCAGACTTTGAAATCTCCATGTCCTTCAATTAGTCTTCTCATGTATTCTGGATTCCGAGGTGGAATAAAAAATATTTTTAGTGCTAGGATTTCTGAATACAACCTCATGTTCCATAAGGGCTCTTTATCCTTATGGATAAAGAAAGAAACTCTTCTTAGGCAGCCACAGAGAGGTGAAAAGTTTAGTGGCCTCTCACCAATAGATGCATCTGACTATGGCAACACTGACTCAGCCTAAGTTCTCCCCAGATTCACATAGAGTATCTATAGACAGATGGAAGAATAAAATTACATTAGAGTCAATACTGGAGAGTAAAAACCAGGAGTGCCAGAGAGGTATTTTTTTGTGAAATTCTACTCCTTTGTTTTCTCCCAAACTGTTTTAACAATGTTGTCTTTATAGCTTTAACACTGTTAGTACAGGCAGTCTCATTCCTGGGATGGGCAGACAAGGTCTGTAAGTGCCTAATCAGCAGATAATTCATGTGTCCTTCTGAGGACACATGGACCTGAAATATGATATCTGTTGGATGCACACCCAGCTTCTTCAGGCAACAGGAAAGAAAGCAAAACTCCTAATAAAGATGTGGTGGTTTCAGTTGGAAACTGGGCAGAAACATCAATTTACTGTAGTGGTTTTGGTTTGCTAATTTAAGATATTTCCAATTTTGACATTTTTTAAACGAATGTGTTGATGAGTGTGGTGGGTTTCAGTGCTGGTTAATTAGTAGTGTACTCACTTCCTGCTGTGACATAGGATTAGGAGAAAGGTAAAGCAGATTCAAAACTTTAAAAAGGTATAAAGAAAATTTTATTAACAGTAATTAAAAGGAATTAAAATAAACTCTTTAGAATATTTTGTTTTACATTATAATTTTTTTTCTTACTGATAATGTAAAAAACAAAACCTAAAATTTCTAGTCAGTTTATTATTTTTAAAATAGTCTTTCTTTAGTTTAGGGAGAGAAGTCTCTTTTATTAATGTGGAGACTTTAAAATTTTGGGAGTTTGAAAATAAATGAAAGCTCTCTTTAGATAAGACTGAATAAATGTTATCTTGCACTTAGTAGAATTACCTCTTGCTGCTCAAGATGTTGCCTGTCTGTCAATGGCCTTGCAATGTTGCAGTCTATGCAATGGCCTCTTATTCTGTTCTCTTTTCATTAACAGTCTGTTAGATCTTTTGCTTTTAATGCAATTAGCATGGCAGGTGATTTTGGGCATGAAGAAGAAGAATCCAGCAAAGAAGAAGGTCTGGCCATATACTGATAAAGGAATAAATCTCAGTCTAGTTTGTTTGCTTGCTTGTTTGTTTCATTAGAAAAGACAGCAGAGTATCCTGGTTAAATCTAAGTGTGAATTATGATCTTCTCTCAGCAGATAGAAATTCTCCTTTAATGTCCAGTTGCTAATTTTTAGCAGAGTTGCCAGAGTCAACAATCTCTGTGCCTCCTGGCTGGAGGGCTTGCCCTAATTCTCATGTTAGCTATCAGTAGCAGAACTGTTGAGATTATCTCCCTTTGGAGTAAATCCATTCTACTTTTCTTGTCTAGGGAAAAATGATGCTTCTTGCCCTTGGAGTGGAGTTCACTTTTGTGCAGTTCTATCTTTAGCTGTCTGAAATTCAAGTGTTGGTTAAGGGTTAGAAACCTAATGCTTCCCATTGCCTGGTCTCTCCACTGCTTTGCTGTTCATTTGCACTGTTATACTGGGTTTAGGTGATGTTAGGAAGGTCAGTTGAATATCTCTGGGAATCCTTTACTGGTGTAGAAACAACTTTCTCTTGGTAGTGAGCTGCAAAACATCAAGATTCATCTGGCTGACTAGTTGCAGGTGATTTTAATAGACTTTAACGATTTGCTTTAAAAAAGGGATTTTTTTTTTTTCTCATGGGCTAGTATTCTGATGATAATTTAGGACAGGTGATAGGTCTATTATAAATGTAAACAATCCCTCTAATCTGCTTTTTTTATTTTTTGAACTTTAATTTTCTTTTGAAAATGACAGATGTCTCAGATACTTCTAACCTTAAAAAGACTGTAGGTAGTTTCTAATAATAAAGGTTTTAG